CCTCAGCATCATCGTGAAGATAATTGGCGGTCGTACACCAGTTTGTTAAGTGAGTAATTTTATCCGTCCGGATAAATTAAGCACCAATTTTCCCAGTCCGGAGGTATGGAGAGATTGGTTCGCCCAGACACGAGGTCGGACCAACGACCACATGTGTACGGCACGGCATCTATAACCACAGAACTACGTGCACCACATTTTATTTCCATGATATCTTAAGTGAAAATGCCGCCGGAAAGTCTATGTATACTGACTGTTTAAATCATAAAGTTTAACATACTGAGAACAACGCTACGTGGAAATGAGCAGTTTTATTTACCAAATAAGGTTTTTTACCACGGCCTTTGTAGCATCTCTGGAAAGACGATCATTGATTTACTAACTTGGTTTCAAATAAACCGTCCTCATAAGGATTTATGCAGGACTCAATACCATCTCCAAGTGAATGATGTGTTACTGGATAAGCAAGGCTTTTTCGACGGAGTTCCAAGAAAGTCGTGACATTACATGCTACGTTGTTAAGACATTTAGCGGCCGGTATACAGGAACACACCCTTTCAGGGTTAGGCGGCAAACACTCGTGGAGAATTACCAATTTGCTTGCAAAAATACCGCCATAAAATCAAGTACAAGACAAAAATTGGCCTACATATTACATTCACATGCAATGTCCAGTGTGCTGAGAGTTAGAACCTAAAGCCAAAATAGTAAAAACAAAGTGCTTCATACAAAGAAAGGCTTCTCCGGTGTTCCCCGAATGAGTGAAGCCCCATAGGGCAGGTTGGCTGTTCGAACAGAGATTTCACTCGTGCTCGCTCAGGTTACTAGTCTTTTCCTCTTATATACTACGAGATGTAAAAATTTTCTGGAAAAGACGAGAAGCAATGTTAAGTGAGCAAAAAATTTTTACTTATTTTCAGGATTCTTATTCTAGTATCACGTCTTGTCTAAATGCAATAAACAGCCGAGATTCACCTCGCAGCAGAGTCTTGACTACTGAGAAGTCCTTCACTCTCATGTGAACCTCAGCTAAGAGGGCACCTGTGCTACTCCACAGTTCGGTGAGTTTTTCGTGATTAATTGTTTTTCAGAAATAGTCTTCCTTTACCCTAGCACGACTCTGATGCGCTACGAATACAAGTGGAATTTACAGGCACCCATTTGAGTTAATTCACAGATTAATGTGTCTACAGGTGATAAAAAAGATAAAGTTATCGGCGTTGATCAATCCCTGAGGGATTCGCCATGCATTCGACTTCATTAAGTATCGTTTGAGGTGACTGAATGCGTATCTGGCCTTTACAATGACTCGCGGTGGCCTACCGATGTATCGAGCCAGTGCTGCTCTCCTCCCAGAAAACTCTGGTACCAATTTGCCGACACCGGAGGGATGGAAGGCTTGGTGAACAATGGGCGCGAGCACCGATTCCCATGTGTGTGTCGCAGTGGCGCCGTCAACCACTGCACCACATGCGCCACATTTTGTTTAAAAACACCTCTTTAGCACCAGTGATATAAATGCTATATTTTATGACATCCGTTATATGACATCCTTCCATCTATGTACAAAGTGTAATCAGCCCAAATTTAGGAAGACTATATCGATTTTTAAAAGCATTGGAACACAAATAATCAGTACTAAACTGTCCACAAAAGAATAATCACATTGAGCATCAGCGTCCCACGAATTAAGAAACATTTTGTTTAAAAGCACCTGCTTAGCACTAAATATAGCTCAACACATTCCAGTAAAAAAAGGAAAAAAAGGCAATGGTTTAGGGCTACAAAGTAACTCGACTACACGTCAGCCTTTCTTCAACTTTTTTCTAAACTTTGAAGCTCGTCAGTTCTCATAGAATAGGCTGACTGAAGAAACCGAACTGGCTCATTAGGATTTCCTTTTACTGAGTTCAATCAGAAAATGAGGTCAATCACAGAAAAAATTTCTGGTCGTAAAAAAACCAAAGTAAGGACAATTGAATAGAGTACAGAACACGTGAGAAAAGAAAATAATCGCACATTATGGTAGAAACATAAAGAATCCTTTCGAAAATTCAATAGATCACCTAGCTTTTGATTCGATTTGTGATTCAAGTGATTCGCCGAATCTTCATGATCGGCTGAAGGAAATGCTGACGTAGAAGTGAAAATGACGGTGTGTGGGGGGCCGTCGAGTTAGAACACAGCACTTGGCAAATTGCCCGATGCCCAGCGAAATGAATAATGAATGGAAAGCCTAACAGCACGCTGTTCATCGAACCAAACTGAAATTCGCCAGTAATTTCACAACAAAAAGAATGCAATGATGGCGCCTCATCGCTACCAAGAACAATAATTCTTCCCACTACACCACTTCCACAAGCGTTTTTGAGAATTAGAAAGCCGCACAAAGACCAAGAAACTTCTAAAATTACTAGGCCACTTGCATGCCAACGATTCTCTCCGCTCTAGTATTTTTGAAGCCCCCTTTGTTCACCAATGGTTTACTGCTTTATTGCATGTTCAACTACAAATCAATTACAGTAAGACGTTCATTATTACACCAAGTAACTTAAGTTGAAAAGAACGACATTGTCATTTGGAACCCGAGCCATGAGTAAATTAGTGCTAGAAGTCATCTTCATTTTGGTACCCCTTGATAAAGTGGCAAACCACCCTCCGATCCCAACGGTTGGAAAGTTCTTGAGCTAACGGGAAGGAAACGTCTTCTCATGAATTTATTTCTATCATTAGAGAGATTTTCCGAAATAGAAAATACTAATTATTATATGAGAAGTGGACTCGAACCTACATAATTGTTCATACTTTGCATTCATCCACATCGATAAGAGACGAGAGATCTTTCCAGGTCTTTTCATATCGGAACAATAAATTTTCTCAAAGGAGAATTCATGGTTGTTCTGAACAGCTCCACGTAGACAGACAAAGCTATAAACTCTCCACTAAGTTATATTTAACCAAACAAAACCATCAAGGACGAGGAATTCTTGAAAAGGCTACAATTATTAAGCACTTTAAATCCAAAAATCAAATTCGCCGAAAGACATCCAGTCTAAGAGACTGCTGTTGAGCTAGTCTTGATCTGTGTAGGCGCCAAGTTGGTGGCAACAACTAGCTGCTTAGTATTTCTGCATCTACCGCCGCCATAACTGAGCAGCTTGCAGGTCGGAACAATGGGATTTCAATATTAGGCGCATAGCTAATGGCTCAATCTCCAAAAACAGATTTCGTTTGCCAGATAAGGCGTACGTAACTCTGTTCCGTTGTTTAATCCATGATATAGGAAAGAATTGGGAACACTACCAGGTAGAGGAATCTAATGACCCTATCGGCACACCACCAGCTTCATATTTCGCTCACAAACTATTTCTATCTGAGGTCAAGATGTTGGTTCTGTTTCCTACTGAAAGCCCTCACAAATGAAAAACTCGATTCAGACGCAAGGTGAAAAAACTACCATTGTCTGCGAAACAAACGACCGATCGGTTGTCTATACCAGTGGAGAATTTCGAAGACATAGTTTCGCCATCTCACTGAGTCGTAGCGAAAACTCCGACCAAAATCCTGTCAATCTACTTTATCGATGAGCTCCGATTCAGATTTACTCCTCCAGCCCCAGTCTGCACTACTCCGTAATTTCTCATGAAGAGAAAAAATTTCGGGCCTAATAGAGTGTAATGCCATAGTCTTAGGCAATCCAACCACTAGCGAATTAATAATGCATGGCGACCAGATATACAGATAAGCGGTACAAGAAGACAACGGTGTTGCACTTAGTTCTGAAGAGAACCGGCTCAGAAGCTACATTCACAGATACGCCGACTCTAGTTTGTTTGCTCTATCACGCAGATTACAATTACTATCGTCCTAATGAAACGATTCAAGGGCACGAAAAGTCTTCCCGTGAGAAAATCTTGTTTCATAGAAACGGATCGTGATCGTGAACGGTGAGACATCTGTAGTTGATCTCCTACCTGAACTCGGCGAAAGATAAATATCTCCAAATTTTCTGGTAGCTCTTATCTTAATTGAATAATGAGTACGGCCACCAGTGGATTATTGTCAAGTCGGAGTCAAAGAGGCATACGAAAACATCATGCTTGATGTCATTCTTCCAAAAAAATTCTTCTACTTATCTTAAAACCCTTAATTGAATTTCCACATTGTATAGGCAGTGCAGTCGAAAACAAATTTCTGCCAGGCTTGTTTGAGACATGTCCATTTCCTCAATTGCACTTGGGAATGCTCTTATGCAGTTCTATCAACATTGTAGGCAAAATCTACTCCACCAGCATTCACCTATATCCATAATGAAGGAGAAGGTCCACATGCAGCAGTCAAATCCATACGTAAAGGTTCCAAGAGCTAAGTGGATTGTGGATGAGAGGAAACCAGTAGAATACAAAGTGCTGGAATCGGCGCAATATGATAGATGTGGTGTCGGGTAATGTGAAAAAAATCTATAGTTAGAGATGTCAGCCATCAGCACTGACCAAGACGATACCACAGATGGCACGAATGACAAAGTTCCTAATGCCTGCTTCATTCTCACGACGGTTAATGGACCGAAAACAGACAGAAGTCGTAGTGAAAAGAACTGTGGGCTTCAAAGCCTCTGTGAAGCTATACGGGATCACAGGTCTTTACGCGACAATGTTTCTATGACAACGTATGGGTCACCTATTGACGTTCAATGGTCTACAAGTCACCTATTGATATTCAGTGTTCTAAGACAACATTTTTCGCTCCTTTATCAATCCTGCCATTTTCCTCTCCTTTTTCCTAAGTCACAACATCATTTGCGTTTTTCAATTCCACTTCTATGCAGATTGTCTGGATACGATACAGGAAGTGCGCTGTGAGGAAACCCTGAAAACGACTCCGATACCAGTTGACTTTGTCATTCATGACATCTGACGTTTACGCAATTTCGTTCGTCCTAGAGCAAATTCATCGAGTAGGCGAACGTGCTTTTGTGCTTTCGCTTCGATTCGAAGGACATGAATGGTGCAACGTCGGACAAGTGCATCCAGGAGTTAAGTGAAGTTGAAATCAATTCTTGCAGTGCGCAGTGCTCTGTTTTCAGCACTACTCGTACAGAAACATACTATTAAAGCGTGAATTGCTCATTTAACTGTTGTGCATGGCCTTAAGTGCACCTTTTATTATCAAATCACCACTCTCTCCGCTGTTTTCGCTTCTCGTTCTTCTGTGCCCCGCCTGTCTTCCACCTTTTCTTTTCCTCTGCCTAACTCTCCACACAGGCTCTGCGCCAGCAGCATTTCGCCAGCAGCTCATGGCTATCGGTGTCACTGTGATCACTGTTACATTCATGTTGTTGTCCTAACGATCCCTTGCGTATGGGATCCCCGACGATGCGGTTGTCCTCGATGGACACATATTCCTTCAGTAAAACATGGGCCTTTACTCCCAATACGGTAAATATTTTTCTCCTTATGTGCATGGTTCAACTTTCTGTAACATAGTAATAATTTAAAAGCCAAACAGCTTTCGGCGTTGATCAATTCCTGAGGGATGCACCACGCATTCATCTTCATTAAGCATCGCTTGGAGGTGATTAAATGCATATCTGGCCTTTATAACAACTCACGGTTCCCTACCGATGTAACGAGCTGCCATCTTCCAGACACGTCTGGTACTAATTTGCCGACACCGAAGAGATGGAAGATTTGGTGGACCATGGGCGTGGGCATCGATCTCATCTGTGTATTGCAGCGCGCCTCCGACAACTGCGCCACACGCGCCTATGAAATAATCACTTTGTATCTCACGATTTTAAGCAATTCGACAAAGTATTTATCCTTTTTAACGGTAGGGTAGATATTGCAAAATATAACTTTAATGATGCTGAGATATTTGCAAAACTCCAGACCTCAGGTGTCTGTGGTGGGGAACGAACGCGCTAGTGTCCCTTCCGGGTAGTAACGCGTTCACCATCACTCCATGTGGGTCCTTCGTTTTGCCTGTCTCTCAGCAATTTCTATCGATCTTTTGCCATCGGCAATCACGCGTCAGCTTTTATTTTACTTTTTTTTTGCGAATATCTCAGCACCATTAAAGTTATACTGCGCAATATATAGCCTGCCGTTAAAAAGAGTAGGCAGTAAATAATAAGCTAATATTGTGATTATAACTGCAGCCTCAGCTTAACTGGATTCGTTACCGATTTGGGCTTCCCAGAACAATCCCGCTAACGGGTGATTGCTGATGGCAAAAGATCAATAGAAATTGCTGAGAGACAGGCAAAACGAAGGACCCGGATGGTGTGGTGGTGAAGTGCGCTACTCCCCGAAAAGGACAATAGCGCGTTCGTTCCCCACCGCATACACCTGCGGTCCCGAGTTTTGCTAATATCTCAGCATCATTAAAGTGCTTATTATCTATTTTCTGTGAAGAACAATAACGATGGCCTATTAAACAAATCAGTGTGGCTGGGAGGTGTTCCTTGGTGTCGGGCTACGATGTACGGCGGGAACATTCGTCCCACCGGCAGGATCTCCTAAGCTGATAAGGAGTCCGGTGTTTCAATCGGGAAGCCTAGCTAAGAGTAAACGGGTACCAGGATCCACCACCGTCCTGGTATCAAACTAGTCCCATGGTGACAAATCTCCGTCTGATCCATAAGGGCTGCAACTGCTTGTGGTGGTTAATACCTGGAGCCCACTTTGCCAGACTGACCTCGGGACTTTAAAGAACCACGATTACTAGGCCAGCAAGACTCCGAAAAACGGAAGTTATACTGGACTCGCACAACCAGGGAAGACGGGCCATTCACGTATCGAAGTAAGTAAAGGAAACATTTTGCGCACAGAACGAACAGTTCGGAGGAATCGTGAATAACCGGATATCAACTGGTTTTTTCTTGCACGGAACATTTATTCTTAAACACCTTAAAAGCACTGTAGATAATCGAATAGTCCAAGTATCCAAGTGTCATACAAAAATAGTTTGCTCTACGATTTGTTTCCCTTATTTCGAGAGATAGGATAGATTGCTTGTTGCTTTTCCGTATTTATCCCTCTCCTCCACTTCTGCTGTTTATGACGTTCACTGAAACTCTTCAACAAATCCGCTATGTTCATCATCGGCTTGCAGTTGGTACCAATATACTGCTATTCGTCGTCTTCCAGTCTGATTTACTTCACTCTGGCAATCGAATCCACTTCATGCTACTTATGGGCCCTCAAAGAATAATAGGGATGTTGATAACAAATTTCTAAGGGGTACTTACAAAGGGAGAGAAGATGACAAATCTTGGTCGAAACTTTTTCGTGTTCCCTCAATGGTCGAAAATATTACATGACAAGGAGATCCGTGAATCATCAACTTACGTCCAACTTTCTCGATATCCTACGAAATATTTGCTCCTTGTGCTACCACGAAGCATTTAAACCACTTTTAAGTGATTAGTTCTTCCCTTTTCCCATAGAAAAAGTAGAGAAACGAAGGTATCATGTGTAATTTTTAATGTCATACCAAATATTTTTGACAACCAATCAACCAATCGACCATTTTCTTTGCTTTTTAGGTCTACCAGTCGGTTTTGTCTTCACTACGATACTTTCCGACTTTCCAAAAGCTACGGATTTTATGGTAGACATTAGTGTCGCTGATGAGACCACCTTTTTAGCTCGTCTTCAACTCTCCAAGCGCAGTGGGACGGTAATACTTACGTTTCTAAACGACCCCCTCAATGTACACTCAAAATCTTCACATTCTGCCGTCCATTGTTGCAGGAAATTCTATCGACACGAGGGATATCAATTCTCTATTCAAGGAATAAGGATGTGCTTGCGATTACTTTAGCCGTGAAAATCACCAAATATTATCATCTGCCAACTGAGGAAAACGTTCTCCCATTACGGCAAACCGAAACTCAAACTGAGGTGGTGGAAACGCGCTCCATTCAGACACAAGTGAGTGATGATGTGTGTTCGGCTTGAGCCAGTATTTGCTTCAAAAAATCTCCATAATTCTTCACTGGTGTGCTCATATGACTTTTTGTTGAATGCCACTGCAACGGCCCGGGTTCACTATCACGGCCAGAGAGAGTAAAAGGATAATGGTCTCGGCGTTGATCTATCCATGAGGGTTTCTCCATGCATTCGTCTTCATTAAGCATCGTTTGGAGGTGATTGAATGTGTATCTGGCCTTTACAATGACTCGCGGTGGCCTACCGATGTATCGAGACAGTGCTGCTATCCTCCCAGAGAAATCTTGTATCAATTTGCCGACCCCGGAAGGATAAAGGGCTTGGTGGGCCAGAGGCGCTGGGATCGATCCCATGTGCGTATTGCAGGGCATTTCCGTCCACTGCGTCACACGGGCCTATGCTAGAGAGAAGGATGAAGAATCTCATTGCATTTATGGAACGAAATTATACTCCACTGGTAATGTATGAGACTCCAATGAAGAGCGAAATTGTTATCCGTGTGGGTTCAGTTCACTTCCTAATGTTTCTACACCCATGTTATTGGAAACTATAGCATTATATTTCATTCCCTGTGGTGTCCACTTATTTTTAAATCCCGATCTATTTAAGGTGCATTGCCTTCGCAGTACCATCGGTTCCAACACTGATTTCCATTTCTTGTCTGTACCCGAACTCAAAGAAGCACTGGAGAGTGTCGTTACCAAGCATCTTCATTGGCGGAAAAAATTGGGAGCAGAGAGACCTTCAGTCACATCTGCTCCAGTGAAGCTGCCTTCATTTCAAACAGAAGCATCGAAGCTCAGCCTTGGAAAAAATATTGTGCCTCGTTTGCAAAAGCTACGAGTACTTGACAAGATGATCGGTGAAAGAGCCGCGCTTGTTGAAAACTTCGATTCGCAGTTTGTTAAAAGTGAAGTCGTTCGCAAACGAAACATAATTAGGAATTCTCGAATTAGTATCAATGATCTGCAAGGTAGCAAAGCCACCACAAAACCCGAGAAGCCGACTGCAACAACGATCCCGGAACAGGTTATGTCGACCGCCAAATTAGAAGAGGATTCGAAATCGATTCCGACATCGAACAGCGACGAAAAAATGGAAGAATCCAGTGAATCAGGAGATTTAAATGAGGAGATTTCGACGAGTGGAACGTCTATTAGTGGAGGAAGCTCTTCATCGTCAAAAGAAACCATTCTGAGAAAGAGTTCGTCAGCTGATGTATCAGATGAAACGCCGAAAATAAATGGAGAACGATGGCACAGGTAAACTTTATGCATTCTATTAACTCAATAAGATGAACTATAATATAAAGCGCAATGTGAAGTTGGTCGTTTTTGTTTTGCTGATACCTTCTTAAATCCCTACACAAGAATTCATTTGAAAGTTTCATGTTCATAGACTTCATATTATACCCAGTAAATTACTAACTGTCTATAGGTGTGGTAACCTATAGAGTAGAATTTGAATCCGATGATGGCAATCATTTGGATTAGACTGGGAAAAGAGAGAAGCAGTTTTCTTGGCTAAGTGACGATCCACATTTGTCGATCATCGCTGGGCGGGAGGTGAATCCATTAACATGTCTCAGTTGTCCAGATTACTGAGATACTATCCTCTTTAAATATTTAGGTAGTTGGTTTGCTTGGCCACATCTACGTTCGAATTAATTCGTCACAGATTATGACGGCGAAGAAGACCCAGCATACTAAGGCTATGAAGAGCAATATAATTTCAAAATTAAATGACCAAAGTTATGAAGAACTATTGGAATGATCTTTCATGGTCAAACAGCTCGTGTGAACATAAGCACCTATTCCTACATACACTACCACCGTTGTGAAGTGCAAGAATAGTGATTCTCATTTGATTCATAGGGAAATATGGTGTCCCTAAAGATTCGGTTGGTTCAACGAACTACTCAACAACTAAAAAAATTACTGTTAGGCTCTCATTTATCTTCAGAATAGCCGCTTTCGCTTTAAATTGTTCCATTTCGAACATAATGAAGCGTGACGTGACGATTTTAGCAGCGTTCTCAGAAACCTCAGACGAAGAAGAAAATGAAGCGGTATGAGGGAGAAACGTTGCGATCGAAAATGTCTCTTTTGTTTTAGATGACATAGAACACTATCTGATATACTGACAAGTTTTGGACCGTTCTGATGGTGTTCACGAAATCAGCAGATCAGCCCTTATTGAGCGTAAATGTAGCACTTCTTTAATAAGACGCTGCAGATGACATTGTGTACATGCCCGCTTTCTTCTATAATTACATGACGAAGCAATGTAAATACTTTTTAATTTTTATTTGATGCCTACTACATTTTTTCACGGCAGGGTATTATGCGAAATATAACCGCAACGATGCTGAGAGCGGTGGGGAACGAACGTGTTATTACCCTTTCCGTGGGCTATCGTGTTCACCACCACTCCACCGCAGGCACATGCGGTCCAAAGTTTTGCAAATATCTCAGCATTATATACGAGTTATATTTCGCAACATACCCTGCCATTAAAAAGGAAAAAGGCAGTAAATAAAAGGGTTAAGATTGTAAATATTATTTACAATTTTCAGAGGATTAGCTGAGCTTGATGATAGGCAAGTGTAAAATTCCGATACACATGCTGTTGGAAATATTTCCTTTCATAGAATACTAGTGGCAGATTACATATTTCTTGCTTCAAGTTCTGTCTTCGCTATTTCTCTTTGAATGTTCTCATTTTTAGACCCACTCACCAGAAACCAATGGAAGACAAACCAGATGAAGCCACAGAACAACTCTCTCCTACCAGTCTGTATTTAAACGAACTTCGAGAGAAAATCCTGCAAGAACGACTGCAAAGAATTTAACGTTCGATAATTTGACTCTTTCAATAAATGTGCCTTTTTCAAAAGTATCTCCTATGCTCACTCTAGCTCACCATCAACTGATTCGAACGGACACTTACAAGATCTTCATTAGTTATTCATGCATTCCACACTTGCCCGATGTGTCTGGCGAGTTGACGAGTCCATGATGCACCGAGTTTCTTGTTGAGGTTCCTCGTAAAAAAAACCATACTACAGAGCAGATGATCTTCATCTTATGCACACGCTATCGGTAAGAACCTGGTCATCGGCGAATCATTGCCAACGATTATCGTTAATATGGATGGAGCCACCAGTCTACTTAGTTCTACAGAGTAGCCAGTGTTTTTATACTCAAGTGTTCTAGATCAGTATTTTTTAAAAAGGGGTTTTGGCCACTCCTTCATTGCTTACGAGACTTTCAGCTTTCCGAAGCATGTGCTAATTTCTGAGGAATTGTAGTGTCAAGATTTCTGTCGCAGCGACGGCAAGGGAATTTTTTTAATGGCATGTTCTCTTGTCGTATCCGTCATTTCTAAGTTGTAAAAGTCGAAATATAGGAGGAAATAAAACAAATCTTGATTACTGATGTGACTATTCAAGTCGCTATAAGAACAACAGTAAGGAGCCTTAAATAGGATAGAGGACGGAGCGTTGGGCATTGATCAATCCCTGAGGAATGCGTCATGCGTTCGACTTCCTCGTGTTTCGTAAGAGATAACTGAGAGCATAATTGGCCTAAATAATGACTTGCGGAGACTTAGCAATGTATCTTCTACCCTGCCAATGAAGTTTGGTGCCAATTCGCCGAACCGAACCCGGGTAGAATTATAGCACAAGGTACCCAAGGGGTCATTGAACCGCTGATCACGTGCGGATTCTGTGGAACCTCTAACCACTGTGCTGGACCACTGCTATACGTGGCAGTAATCCCAGTACACACCCCAATACCGGAAGTAAACGGAATGAGATTAATGTGTGTTCGTTAGATCCTTCATGTATGTTTAATTGTTCGGCGATTTCCGTTATGGTCATTGCAGTGGCATCATTCCTTGATAACCTTTGAGAACGCCGCATGTCATGAATTACTACACATCCTCAAGAATATTCTCTGACACAAAGAATAAGTTGTCCATCGTTTGTCAAAACTGCACATTTGAAATACCCCTACCGGTTCTTCATTAAAATTCACTACCTTGCTGGTATCATATCAACGTGATAAAAATTATCAAAAATGACAAGTTCTATTTACTTACCCATTCCGATACCAACTTTCCATCCCCTTTTTCGCATAACTTATGAGCGCTGGCACTTTTCTAGTTGTTGCGTTGTCTTGTAGATGTCACTCGTGGAGGTTCTCTCCAAGTTTGGGTGGAGTTTGAGCATCTGGTGTCAATTTTGTCGTCTTCTCCCTCCAATTGTTGGTCCAGGGTGGTTCGCCTTGAACGTCGTTATGTACTGATTGAGTTAAATCTCAATGAGAAATCGCGATACCTCAGCTAGAATGTTACCGGGCATTGATCACTGGGAAGAACCGGCTTATGCGGATCGGAGGGAGCTTTTCACAGATATTTCATTTTTTTGAATGACCCGTCTTCACATTTCTATTTTATGGATCTTAGTACCACAACCATCTAATTTGCTTTCTCGCATTAACAATCCACAAAGGACTTCGGATTTTACATGTGGATTTGTCCACTGCTTGAGGATTTTTGGTTTTCGTTATAAATGTCTTTGAATCCAGGTCGAGTCGATTCTCCTTTGAACCATGGAACGGCCATGCAACGAGGTTCCCTCGTCTTTTGGATTGGAAGCGGCTTAGGAGAAATGTCCGATACAAATTGCGCAACCCAGGAGGATGAGAGTTTGTTTGAACTAGTGCGAGTCGAACCCAGGGACATTCGCATATTGAGCGGCATTACTTCCACTGTGCTTGTCGCGCCTCCAACTATGTATACACATGCAAATAATATGTACATATCGCCACTTTTTATTTACTGCCTACTCTTTTTTAATTCCAGGGTATCATGTAAAATATAACCATAATGATGCTGAGATATTTGCAAACATCCGGACCGCTAGTGTCTGCGATGGAGACCGAACACGCTACTATCCTTTCCAAAAGCTAACGCGTTCACCATCACACCATGCAAGTTCTTCGTTTCACCTTTTTCTCTGCCGTGTTACTGACCTATAGGTGCTATCAGCACTCAACCGTCAACGGGATTGATCTGGGGAGCACAAATCGGCATCGAACCTCGTTAAGCTGAGGCTATAGCATAAATCACAATGTCGTCACTTTACATATCTATCAATATGCATGAATATATATATATATATATACATGTGAACTTTAGTTTATACGTAACATCGCAAGATCAGAACAAGCATCTACATCCTAGGGAAGACGCTTCGCATTTGAGAGTGTGGACGAGTTTACTCCGTCCCTTTTTATGCAGGCAGTGACTACTTGGTGGCGATACATTACGGATTGAGTGCACTTCAACTCCAATTCGCACCAAGGCGTCAGCAGTACAAGTGACGTCTGGATCTGGAGCTTAAGCGCGGATTTTAGGGCCAAGCTGTTTTAATCAGCTGATGCATGTCCTACAGGCGCGAGAATATCCTCACTGCTTAAATAAGTTCTCCGAATTTTCTTTTTGTTAACGATCTTGCACGTGCTTCTTTTATGTCGAGCTCCTTTTGAACGTTCATAGTTCGAATTCTCTTGCTCACATTTTCAGGTATTGATGCGTCCTTGGATCACGTTGAGTTCATCTCAAACCTGAATGACTAATCTCCTATCGCTTCAACAAAATGTTTACCAAAGGGAGAGCACATTGCGCTCGCCAAGTATCATCCTGTTGAGGAAGCTCTTACTGGTTTTTTCGATGAAAAATGTCGCCTATGTGGCATTTTTATCTATCTATACTCTTTTCGTGCTGTTGTTACGAGGCGGATTTCCGTGTGAAGAGTCGGAAATTCGTCATCGAGACAGAAGCGTGGTCATCAGGTACTTTCAGCTGTGTTGCTGTCGGTTCTATACTTTCTCCCTATATTTTCCGCCGTTCAGAGACATCAGTGATGTGTACGATGTTGGTTGTAATGGGTATTCAATGGAGTATCGAATAGAAGAACAACAGCGGTCAGTTCTGTTAAATTTTACATTACTTACTTATTTAGATACTTGGTTGGGCCATCTTCACCACTTGTACGGGCCTCAGCATAATTCCCATTTTTTCGGAGTTAAATGTTTAGCCACTGTGGCTTCCTGGAATTCTGAAGTCAGCCTAGCCAAAGTCTCCCGCAGGTCGTCACCACCTTAGGCAGTTGCAGCCCTTGTGGATCAGAGGGAGATTTGCCACCTGCGATTAGTTTGATACCAGGATGGTGGTGGATCTTGGTATTGGTTTACTCTTAGCTGGGCATCCTAATGGATACCTCGGACTCCTCAGCTTGGGAGACCCTACTGGGAGATGAATCCCCTCGCTATGCGTCTCAGCCCGACACCCAGGAGCACCTCCCAGCAACGATGAGGCGGTAGACCATTGGGAGGAGCTTTACATCATCTTCATACAATGTTCCACCTTTTCTGTTATAGGAAAACAAGGTAGCATAACTGTTGCTGCTGATTAACATGTTTATGTCCACGTTTTCGCCTCTAATATTGCCATTGTATGATCTTTTTTAAGGATACTCCGTAGTGTTCGTAGTGAACTTATTGATTCATCCGCAAAACTTCGAGAGGTGAATGTGGTGTATGAGGGCTTGACGAAGACGATTCCTGAGAAACGTCGGTATTCGTTCCATTCAAGCATCCAGTTTCTGTGTGCTAATATCGTGCTTCTAGAGTTAGAGCTCAGTTCGCTGCTTGATGAGATCGAGAGTGCGAAGCGAACACTACGAGAACTTCAGGATAGGCGCAATGTGCGTGTTTTCCTCCCGCATAGCATTCTTTATCCAGACACTAGGAACGGGCATAACAGAGTTCATCTTACCCTTCATTCTTCTCTTTCTTCATTGAGTTTGGAAAGTTCTGTTGATTACAGGTATTTGAAACCTCTTCTTTCTGGTGTGTAGTCAGTCTGTCAGAGAACAATCTGTGACGTCACGAGATTTTAATGATTTCACTGACTTCTGACGTTTTCAGTCACTGCTCCATCACTTCTTTCATGCCTTTGCATCTAACAACGTACTCGGAAGCTACTGTACAAATGGAAGGGTTCAGAAAAGAACTTCTATCGCAAGGAAACATAGTTGTGGATTCTAACCTCGCATGTTTAATAGTATGTTCATCCTATATTTCAGATTAATTTAGTTGCTAAGGATAAAGCATAAAGTTCTCGGCGTTAATCGATCCCTGAGGGATGCGCCATGCTTTGGACTTGATTAAGCATTATCAGAGGTTCAATCATAAGTGAATGCATATTTGGTCTATACATTGGCTCACAGTGGCCTACCAATGTATCGAGTCAGTGCTACTATTCTCCTAGGCAATCCTTGTACTAGTTTATCACCCTGGAGAGATGGAGGGCTTGGTAAGCCTGGATCGCGGGGATTGATCCATGTGTGTTGCAGCGCGCCTTCGACCACTGCGCTGCACTCGTCCTTATTTAGTTCTTGGATGTAGTTTTCTATCTGCTTCCGTATTTATAATTTATTTCTTAAGAGTGGTTTGTTAATTAGCTATCAGATACGACAGGTGAGTAGTTATGGGGCTATTATGATCACTTTATAGGTTCATGTGCTATGGAGATTATTTTACTACCATAGCTTTTTGCAGATAATTCTAACCAGTCGTCCATTCAACAATTCTTATTTGAAATCTTTGAATGGAAGTCCTAACCACGTTGTAATTAACTTTGGTGAGCCATTTCACATTCCAAATTCTTTGGCGACAATGGTCCAGCGGACCCATCCATCAGTCATTAGGTGATTTTTTGTGAAATCTTTCTGATGTTATTGTTATGGTGAACAATATCAGTACTATTATCGATTCAGTTCCGTGTTCAGATCTACTGACTACGGCTTGTTTCTTGGTGTACCTGATCACAACGACTTTCTCTGGAATGAACTGCCATCGTTGTTGCCATTTTCTCGAACAGTTAGTATTTCCAGTTTGTCCGATTTCTCTGAGGATATTTCAAAATAACAATGATAACCACTAGATGAAGAGCAGTATAACCACAATATAGCCATCAGCAATCACCCGTAAATAAAAGAGTTAAGATTGTGATTATAACGAGGCCTCAGCTTAACTGGGTTCAATGCCGATATTGGCTCCCCAGATCAATCCCGTTGACGGGTGATTGCTGATGGCAAAAAGATCGATAGAACTAGCTGAGATACATGCAAAGCGAAGTACCCGGATGGTGTAGTGGTGAAGTGTGCTGCTCCCCGGTAAGGACAACAGCGCGTGTTCGTTTCCCACTGCATACACCTGTGGTCCGGAGTTTTGCAAATATCTCAGCACTTCATACGTGAAATCACAATGTTATACCTTTTTATTTTCTGCCTACTATAATTTCGCGGCAGGGTANTAAGCGAAATACAACCACAACGTTGCTGAGATATTTGCAAAACTCTGGACCGCAGGTGTCTATGGTGGGGAACGAACGCGCTATTGTCCTTTCCGGGGAGTAACGCGTTCACCACCACACCATACGGGTCCTTTGTTTCGCCTGTCTCTCAGCTATTTTTGTCGATCTTTGCCACAGCAATCACCCGTCAGCGGGAATGATCTGGGGCGCCCAAATCGGCATAGAACCCAGTTAAGCTGCGGCTGTAGTTGAAATCACAATGTTATACCTTTTTATTTTCTGCCTACTATAATTTCGCGGCAGGGTACTAAGCGAAATACAACCACAACGTTGCTGAGATATTTGCAAAACTCTGGACCGCAGGTAGAAAATCTGGACGATAGAAATAGCTGAGAGACGGGAAACAAAGGACCCACATGGTGTGGTGGTGAACGCGTTACTCCCCGGAAAGGACAATAGCGCGTTCGTTCCCCACCATAGACACCTGCGGTCCAGAGTTTTGCAAATATCTCAGCAACTTGTGGTTGAAATCACAATGTTTTTTTATTGTATTTGATCCGTATTCACGTCTCCTGTGCGATTCCAGCAGTTCTCACATTCCATTCGTTTCCTTGCATCAGTTGTCCACGGAGATCTTCCAACTTTTACGTGTGGCTCTAGTTGATGCTTGAGGATTTCGATTTCACCTTGAATGTCGTAGAATGCTGGTCAAGCATTTCCCCTTGGAGTCTTGAGATAGCCGGGCTGGAGCGTTCCCAGTTGGATTGCGGAGAATGGTTTTTTTTTCTCAGCCAAGTCCAGTACCAGTTTCGCGATCCCGTAGGGATGAGAGGCTTGGTTAGTCTGGAGCGGAATCGAACTAGCACCATGCTCGTGATGACGTACATCACTACCACTGTGTTATCCGCCCCTATCACAGTGTTAACTTTTTTATTTGCTGCCTACTACAATTTTCACGGCAGGGAATTATGCAAAATATTTCAATCTAACTATAAACTGGTTTGGACTAGCTCTATATAGTTGTATGTCTTGTATTCGTTTGAAAACATCTCTGTGATGAAATTATTCATGGTAGTTGATTGTAATTCGTTCTCGTCCGTCTCGCTTTTCCTTTTCAGTACTTAGTGCTCATCGTCATTACTGCCGAATTAGAAGAATCTTTTCCATTTCTGCCAGCTGATCTCTCACGTCTAACCATGTCGGCCTTATCCGCGGGTGACCGGGTGCAAGTTCTAAACTGCTCTACTCATTTTGATTCGGAATCATGTTTTTCTCAACTAGGTATGTTCGTAGTTAGTTTTTCTTCCTGAGAAGCAGTAATCTCTCTACAGTCATCTGTTTATAGATAAGTATATGCGTGACTCCTCTTTTTGTGTTCTTCTTAATTCAAAGGATTTCTCTCGTTTGTTCTGGGAGTCATTGCGCTTAGGCTGTATTCCAGTAGTTACCTCTATGGATATCGTACTACCATTCCAAGGTAACTTTTCATTGATTTATTGTTACCTATTTTTTTAGCTGCTGCTGAGTTTTGGATCGTGTTGCCTGAGACTAACCTTTTCGAGCCGAGCACTTGTTCCGAATAGTGGGATATAGTGGGATTTGTTAAGGCGATAGTTATAAGTTATACTTTTGAGTATCTGTGAGGAAAGCAGCGAGTATTTGAATAGAATACGTCTATCAATGGTCGATATGTAGTTGTTGTTATGGTAAAAGACAAATCTCACGGCATTAACCAATCCCTTAGTGAAGCGCCATGCATTCGACTTCACTAAGCATCGCTGGAGGTGAATGAATGCATATCTGGTCTTTATAATGAGTCCCGGTGGCCTGTCGACGTATCGAGCCAGTGCTGCTCTCCTCCCAGACAACTCTGGTATCAATGTGCCGATCCTGGAGAAATGGAAGGCTTGGCGAGCCTTGGGTGCGGGGATCGATCCCGTGTGAATCGCCGGGCGTCTCCGACCATTGCGCTACGCGCGGCCTCTTGTTGCGATAGGCACGGAAATACAGTGAGTACTGTTTTATTTGTGCATAGTTTGCCCTTTGCCAATGAGTGTATCAGAACACGTTTGAATTTGGTGTTCGGATGCACGAAGAGAGGTTGCGAAGAAGAGGATGTGCTGGAAGTTAAGGAAATTCTGCAGTATTGAGGTGTCTGCAGACAAATATCAGTGCTTAGGTCTGGCAACAAGATAGACTAGTCGCAATGCAGACAAGTGACTCTCCTTGAGAAGTCGTACCAAAACACTGATCTCTGAGAGCTTAGTGAGTCCTGAACGTGGGTTCAAACCACCTACCAGCCAAGTGTGTGTTGTGCCTCTAATCTCTACTCTACACCGAACGTTTATACAAATATATTTACATTTTTGAAGAAATATATATATATATATATATAGCAGGATCACAGGTTATATGGGTAACATAATTAGTTTAGGACCGGTTATTTAGGTAACCTTGATTGGCGTCTTGCCTCAGTGCGCATTGCTCTTGCCAGGTTTCCTGAACTGCATTTCGTTCTTCGCTCATTTGATATGCCCGAGGTGTTGGAAATGCGACGAATAGGACGTGTTTTCTTTGAACGCTACTTGTGTGATCAGACAGGTAAACTTTGAAGTTGTCGAGTATTTGCTGGTTATATGCGTTTCGTTTGTATTTTCATGCATGCTATCGCTTATACTCAGTGTGATTATATTCCAGTTGTTGTAAGAGCCCTGTTAGCATCTTTGCGGGAAAGATTAGGTTTACCATCACCAGCAGAAGATGTTGTTACCGTGAGTCCATATTTACACCATCATATGTTCTTAGCTATTGTTTACACGTTGTTTCTGTTGATATATCAATAAAGTTTGTGGTTTTCATCCTTACAGTCGTATCTTATTTTGTAAGGGTTTATGAGCTATATAGATTCGTAGGAGCAAATCCTTTCTTTGCTGAAGATTCATCTATCTTTTACTCTTCTATGATTTAAGCTATGATTGAAGTGTTTTGAAGTAGCAGTTGTGTATAGCCGGTCTCTTTCCTATAGATCTTCGTCTCATAACTGTAGTCTTAGTGTTTTGCTTATGGGCTCTTTCTTATACTCTTCTTTTCATTTCGTTTTTACTCATCTTCTTCTTGTTTTTTCTTTCTATATTTTCTATTACGTTCTTTACCCTTTTCACTTGTCCTTCCGTTTTGTCCCGGTCAGTGCTCCTTCCTCCGCTAATCTTCTATTCTGTTTCTTAACTTGTAAATATTCTTCTACTGATTTTGTGCCCATCATTACAAATTGTTTAATGGGATAAGTTTCCACGGTTTCGCCAATTAATAGTGATCTGCTGCTTTGGAAGAAGAACAGTGGATTGGGTAGTCGTACTATTTGGAAATTATTTGTAGTCTACCTAGTTTAATTTGACAGCCTTTTATAAAATTTGATGGCTTTGCCACTTCTATGCGTTTTCAAGCGTAGCACGTTCTCGAAAAGAAAGACCAAACGAAGGACTCGCATGGTGTGGTGGTGAACGCGTAATAACGTGTTCGATCACCACCACAAACACTTGCGGTCTGGAGTTTTGCAAATATCTAAGCATCATTGTAGTTGTAGCACGTTTTTTTTATTTAGGCAACACCATTGTTTAATAACACTTATACTGCTCCAATTTTGACACCAGTAAATGTCCAACCAGTCGATGATGAATATCTAGGTATCAATTGTTAAGCGACTGATTGGCTGCTCTATCCAAAGCAAATCTGTTCTTTTAGGTCCTATCGAGGCATCTTTTGACTCACCTGCTTATCTTCATAACTTCTCTTCGGTCAACATAGTCAGTATCTTTTATATATGATAATTAACATAGAAGGGCGTGTGTGGTGCAGTGCTCGGAGGCACCCTGCAATACCCATGGGGACGGTTCTCGCGCCCAAAGCTCACGAAGCCTTCCATCCCTCCGGAGTTGGGAAATTGGTACCGGACTTGTCTGGGAGGATTGCAGCATTGGCTCGATACATGGGCAGGCCACCGCGAGTCATTGTAAAGTCGAGATATGGCGAAATATCACCTCCATCGATGCTTAATGAAATCAAATACACGGTGCATCGCTCAGGGATTGATCAACGCGGAAAACTTTATCCCTTCCTATGAAGAATGAATATGAAGTATTTCCCATATCATGTAAATCGGTTATTCAAAATTGTATTTTGCAGTACTCATACCAATACTGGAATACTGTTGGTATATCTGGGAGGGCGCCCGAGTTTATGGCATATTCCGTCGATCCTCCTACTGAATCTGAGTTTTATCCCGATTCCAACATAGGTAAGTGAGAGGCATTTTGACGAACTGAACGTCACATATCTGAGTTGCTGAACAAATTCTGGTGACAGTAGCAGTGATAACGAATCTCAGAGAGTTTCGTTATCAAAATCAATTATGATGCTAATTGTTGTCTCATCTTTCGTCAGTATTTGTAACGCAGCTTATGATTGAGTAGTGAATGTCGGAATTCTTTCGCGATCTTACATTTTTATTTTCATCATCTGTGATTAATTTGATCTAGAAGGTTGGCATAATTTTAAAGACCTAGTAGGAAACTGGAAAATTTCCGAAGCTTCATTCGGTACCAATTCATCCAAAAAGCGAAATTTATACGTAGGTTAGAATCGATAGGAATTGGCCCCTGTGGAAAGACAATTTTTCACATGAATCCCAACGTTGCGATAACTTTTCTGAAGCGGTGTTTAGACAAATTTGAGGAGTTTAACAAAGTTTTTAGAAATTCCAATCTGGACAAATTTTCTGTGCGTACTTGTATTTGGACGCTCATTAGGGTATTGAAAATTTAGAGTTTACCATCATACTGAGGACAATTCAGTCATGTTTTTTTAAATGCATCGTATAGGTTTTCGACCCATCGAACCTGGATCTGGAATAGAATTCAGCAAAGCTCTTGGAGGTAACCGTGTGCGCGAGCAATTTACTGGTAAGTTTTAGATTTAGTTTTTAATAATCGACGTGACTTAGATTGCAATTTTAAGTGGTGCTTCTTACGTATAACCGAGATTCCGTGTTATCCGCGTCACTAGAGAGACTTCACCGACTTCCCTATCTCAACAAAGTGATAGTTATTTGGAACAACGTTGCGAGAGAACCATTAGGAGCATGGCCACGACTGCATGTTCCTGTAGAGTTAGTTTAGCGTACCATTGAAATGTGATAGCATCATCATTTTGATGGGTTTGATAGCTGTAATCCATTGCGCTTAGTAAATTGGAAAATAAGACTTGCATAACATTTGCAATGTTACGTTAAAGAGTTCTTAGTGAATGTTTCATTAGAAATTTACATTTTGTAGTCATTGTCATATTGCTTTGGTTGTTGACTGATGTTGATACTGCTACTTCATTCAGTACATTCCATGTATTGCTGTTTTTCTTGACGAGATCAAAGTTTAATCCCCAAGTTTTCTTCATATTGGAATGGTAACTGATTTGAAATTACGAGATACTTTTGATGCTGCAATCTCAGTTTAGGTTCATAAAAGTCTCAAACAACAGTTTGAACAATCGCTTTGTACCTTGGGATCGTATACGAACTGAGGCAGTTCTTTCACTTGATGACGACATTGATTTAAAGCAACATGAAATCGTGTTTGCCTTTCGGTACGTTTTCATTGTCTCTTTAGTCTTGTCAGAATCCCAAAACATCTTTTTCTGTAATTTGTCCAACTGTCTAATTGTTGAGAACAACTTTATTGAGCGTACGGTGACATTGGTTACCTCTCTACTCCAATTACTCGACATTTATATTCATTAACTAAAGTGAACGCAATCTAATCCAACGTCAGGAGCCGCTGATATGCAGACGTTTTTCCAAAGCGAAATATGTCCCTATAGTCGGTATAGCCTGGAACAATTGTGATTACCACCTGAAAATAGCTTAACATATTTACCTCAGGATTCCAGCAGTGAAACAAAAACCCGTTCACTTAACAAAATACTAGCTTAATTTTCACAATCTGGAATATTCTATCTAAAATGAAATATGGTGGCGCAGATGGAAACAGTACAATCCAACACACCATAGAAAGTGTTCCATGCTCTACACCTACAGCACCAGAAAAGTATCGTTGCTTTAGTCTGTATAGGGCTGAAAATAACATGAAATTTTGCGTGGTTGCTTTACGGGAAACATAAAACGGGAGAATCAAAGTACTGCAATTTAAAGTGCCTCTATAGAGAACAAGGCAACGAACGAAATATTGATTGCGTAATTGCTTCTTTTTACACCCATTCACTGCCTATCATTTAAATCGCGCGATATACTCTTACCTTGATTAGGCAATTTGCTTCTGCAACTTTTACATCAAGGGAAAATAAACATAGTCAAAGGCATAGTCAAGCTTTGCAGTAGATATGGTGGCTTAAACAAGTTCGACTAAGGGAGGCTCCCAGATGTTTTGCTGCCTCATCGCAGTTACAGAGTGTTGTTAGTGGGTGTCAAACCGCGATGTACATGATGGAAGTTCATATTTCAGTAGGGCTTCTCAACTTGAGGAGTTCGACATTCTAGTCCGGATTCCCAGCCAAGCGCTAAACAACTCGTATGGACTACTGCTTTCCTGTGAAGGATATTGTCCCATGATGACAAGTTTTGATAACCTGGGATATCTCTAGAACAACCATTGAAACTGAAGGAAAACAATGTTTTGCCCAAATAGCAAATTGCTGGTTGAGTGTAAATCTTGCTAAATATTGCTAATGCCCCACTATTTGTGATTCATTGAAGTGGGACGTTCGAAAATTCGACTAAGCTAGAGTAAATGACTTAGAATGAAAAGATCTTTAAAAAAGGATCTTTTATTGCGGAATCCAACGCCACGAAAAAAATTGAGGAACCTGATTACCAGATCAGAAGAATTACAGTGCTAATATATACGTCCTAAGACTGTTTCTAACAGTACATCTCTTGTATTGAAATGCGCTGTTCACGTGGAATGGAATCAACACGCTTCAAATATGAATAACACACTTGCACATTCTACATTGAGAATGGTTAATCGTAGGAAACAGAAGATGATGTGTATTTGAGATGTCTTTTTGACGCCACCGTAACTTCGTATTTTGTTCACTGTTCTGATCTCCACCTCATCAGTATAAATGGTCTGTTTAGCCATGAGCTAAAATAGATGCAACATCTCCAGAAAAGAAAAACAGGTGGCGTAAGACTTTGAACGAGTGTTTCCTCACATTACTACCGTGGATGACCCAACGGAAACTATGTAATTCTTGTCAGTGGACCACACCTTTGTGTCTAACTTTGAGTCGATGACTCTTCCATCCTTACAATCTCTATTTTAGAGGTGGAACATAACAGAATACAAGTCAAGCAAGTCACACTTTCAACGCACCAACCACAGAACACGAACCCTTTCCACAATTATTCAAACTAAACGCACTTTCCAATTCGGAATTAAAGTGGAGATTTTCACAACAAGGCTTTCTGCGTAATACAAGCGAAGCACACTTAACGACAATCACATCGCATATTTACCAGTCATTGTTCTTCAGTACGGGATGCTAGTGATGGACGAATGTGGTTGATGTTAACATCAATACATTTTCGCAACCGGACGTGAACCAAGTTATGAAACGATATTGAAGGTAGTCCCCGTTTTCGTCAACACGAGTTTGGCCATAAACATCGAGCCATTCAAACAACTAACAACCCGAATCGGATGTTTACAGTTGAAGAAATATGGATTAACAACAGTTTTTAAAATCTTTGTCGTCTACGCATCGACGACGTCAAACTATGTTAAAGACGAAGTCGAGGCATTGTGTATGGATTTCGGGAGGTTCTACAGAGAAGACCGTTCATTATTTCAGATCATCACTGAAGGTGTTAACGCTCAGATTTTACTCAGAAGAACGTCATGTTGCGAGCCACGGAATGGAATGAGCAGCGCGAGCGGCTGTCTTGGTTTATCATGACGATCCATGGTAACTCGCCATTCCGGAAGCCGCACTGTCATCGCTGGACGTGGGAGTCTCCCAAGGAAGAGTACCATAACGTGGAAAACCACATCATAGTAAATCCAAGGTTTTGCCTAGCCTCTTTCTCTATCTATATCATGTCTCTTTTGTCTCAAAATTTTCAGGGGATCGAGCCATAGCAAGGTACCTTCATGCAAGATTTCATTTCTTTGCGAAGAGATAGAAAGCCTCTAAACTTAAAAAACGATGTCTCAAAGGCACCATAAATTGGGATTTATTTAGTTCATTAGTTGTCTGTTGGGAAGATGCCGTTGTTACCAACATCGACGAGGAATACAATCGGCTCATTCAACATCTTCACATCAGCGCTATGAAAGCGAAGCGTTCGAAAGTCACCAAGAGACGTCTGTCTCCAGAAACACTCGAGCTGATACGCCAGCGTGGAATCGAACGAGCTGCAGGCAACCGCGAACTAACGTCCGAGTTTGCAAAACAATGCAGAAAGGCGATAAAAGAAGATTTTAAATAGTGAAGAGCAGCAGTTATAGTCGACGCAGCAGATGCTAGGAAAAGCATTCGCAAAACCCACCGAAATTTCGCCAATTAGAAAACCAAGATGATTTCAATCCGACGTTCAGATGGAACAGCTACGGCTTCCAGAAAGGCATTCGAAAACCGTTCACGATTCTATCAATACCCTGTCCGGATAGCGCGAAATATGAACACCTGAACAACGTTCCGCTAGTCCTCTTTAACACACTGGCTCGGCTTTCACACGTTACCAGTCAGATTCAAGGTTCTCATTCAATGGAAGGCCAGCAATACTATGTTATTGTTCATAAAGGGTGACCTCCACTATACCGGCTGCTGTCGCCCAATCTGCTGGCTGTCTGTCGTCTACACACTCTTCACTCGTCCGATCCTAGATGGGATTGACAGAACACTGGACGAAAGATAACCATGTGCACAATTAAGACTTCGAAAAGGATTGAGTACGTTGGACCACATCCACACGATGAGAAGATTCAATGAAGTACCCCGAGAGTACAAGAGGCTGCTCTATCTCACTATCATCAATTTGAAGAAAGCGTTCGGCTCGATTGGATAGCAGTCATGTAAGCACTGGAGGACCAGCGTGTTCCTAGTCAGTGTATAAAGGCACTTCGTGAGATATATAATAATTTCGCAACCAAAATATTACCATTCTATTATGGTATTAACATCGACGTCAAAAGAGTAGTAAGGCAAGACGGTACAATTTCGTCAACGTTATTTGTTGCCACTATTCAGGTGGTTATGGGAGCATTGAATTGGTTGAAAGTGGATATCGACGGTTGGAAATTACACTATTCTTGATTTGCTAATTGCATCGTTCTTCCAGCACCAAGCATTAGCCAGGTGGTATGATTGCTTGCCTATTTTGGTAACGCTTGTGGAAAGATTGGTCTTCGACTAAATCTCACAGAGACGTTGTCCCTGAAGAATCGATTGGTTTCGTATGACCCATTTAGGCTCAATGGATTAAATATCTCTGAATGCTTCAGCTACATCTATCTTTTTCGCTAGTTCAATGTGATAAACTACTTTGCTCCAGAGTTTAGCAGATGAAGCGAGCGCCTCGAAGAACTTTCGAGAGCATTCGTAATAATCTTGCCTTTATTCTCCAAATTTTCTGTCTCACTTCTCTTGTTATATATGCAAGTGTGTTTATTCTGGTTTGATCATTCCAGTTTCAGAGTATGGAGGGAGAATCGCCATCGGATCGTCGGATTTCCTGCGCGACATCACGCTCGCTATGGTGACCAGATGTACTATAACAGCAACCATACGTGCCAACTAAGTATTATACTAACCGGAGCTGCTTTTTTGCACAAGGTGGTTTTTAACATATTTGCGATATTGAGTCGTATACGGCTGTTTGCTAGCTGGAAATATTTTATGGTTGACTTCAACAACACCCATCTCATAGAGCAATTTACTAATTATCAGTATAATTTATATTTCACTGCAAAACACATGTTTACCCCTTTCATCACGGCGGGTTGCTGGCCATGTGTAGCGTTACCAATCATTCCTTTTTTCGTCCTTTTTTTGTCTTTGAGGCTCATTTGTTGAGCACCGGCAAATTGAACAGGCGGTATTTGTTGCATAAGGATACTGTCGTGTCCAGGAGTACGTCGTAAAAATGAGCTTTTGCCTCATTTACGTTGGAATTTTTGTTTTTGTTCTTTTTTTGTTTCTTAACCGTATCACTATTTAATCATCACTCAAGTGGGCAGCAGTAAATGCTACTTCTTCACACCACTCACCAGAAGTGCTCACTAGGCGCGTAGGCTGCTGACAGGGGAAAACAACATAATTCTTGTATGATGCCTCTTTATTACTGTCTTTGACGAAAATATTGCATTGAGCTACTTGCATGCCCGTATTGTAGTTTAGGTTTAATCTTAACTGCACTGAGGCATGTCGAATCCCTTCTTGGTTTAGGAGAGAGACTGCGTTGAGAATGAACTGGTATACGTCACAGTTTAACATCTAAGACTTTCCTAGCTTCAGTTATGCGGTAAACCTATGGCGGAGACTAAAAGTGATGTTTCCGAAAAAATTATGCTTTTATAGCGATGGAATGAAGTATTTTCTGGAGGAAATCAATTTCTGAGGTACTCAGGCCGTCGGGAAACTCGCACGCTTGCGAAAATGTTAAACAGAAATGTTCGCTTCACCTGCGTTTTAATAGCATTGCAAAATTCGTTCCTTGAATATTAAGATTACTGAGGCTTATTTAGTTCTTTTCATTCTGGCTCGACATTGATTGGTAATTCGCTGTTTTTCTTCAATAAATAGTACCAACCTCATGTCTGCTTATTGAAGAAAAGCAGCGAAGTGTCAATTTATTTAAATATTTTATTAGTTTCTCACTTTTTTTCCTTTGCAGACCTAATATGTATCTTAATACAATGGAGACGGCGAGACATTTTCACCAACCAGATGCATGTTTTTCTGTTTTATGAAAATCTTATCTATCAAAAGCCATTTGGCATTTCTTCCTTTTACTTTGTTTAGTCAAATCTCGTATTTCGACCACGAAAACAATTGAGCAAGCAGAATCTCGTCCAAGAGGATGAGATGATGCTCTCAATGCATGATTACTTCATTGGTTTTTGCAGTAGTCCTGCTTAGATGGGAAGTTCTAAAATTTTTATTTCCTTTTCAGTTTTTCTATAATTTTAATTCTAGAAGAGTTTAAAACTTAATGAATATTTTGTAAAAGTTGTATGCATCCTTGAGGTGACTGAGCAAAGTCTTTCCTCGAACTCTCTCGAGTTCTCAACTCTCTCATTACTCTATTAATGGACGAATTGCCGTCTGTTCTTTAAAAAAAACAACTTTGTCACGAATGTTTGCGGCCGTTTGTGGAATTTTCCGCAGACTTCTCCATAACGACAACCCACTAAAAACAATCAATACTCATTGTGGTTATTTTAAAGTGGACAGTCAATAGAAGGTAACTCGATAACTAAAAAAGTAGTAAGATGATTACCACTAGGCTGTCCGGAAATTAATGCACAATTCCAACATGTGTTTTTAAAATGATATATCTCAGCTGGTAATGCACTTTATTGAGTAGAATAAAAATCATTAGAATCTACACATCTTTTTCGATAAGAAAAGAGTTTACTTATTCTGGTCGTGTGAAGCTCTGGAGTGAAAGCGATGAATTCGTTGAAGTTAGCTTAGACTTTGGCTTTTCTTTTGGAGATTTTCTCAAATGCGAGGTTTTCGAGATGCTGAAGAAGTGGCAGTCGGTAAGCTAGAGTCTGGAATGTGTGGTTAATGAGCCAGTTTCGTAGTCGAGTTCGTACAACCTTCGCAACGTCTGTAGTGTGTGACATGTAGCCACGCGTTATCGTTGAGAACGATGGTGCAATTTGTACAGCATCCATTTCTCGAGCTTCTTCCACTTCTCAGTATTCCTTAGATCATACAAAACTGTTGAGATGCTTACAACAAATTCCGCAAACTCTCTGAAAATTGTGCGTCTGTTTGCTTTCACTAAGCCCTTCAATTCATCGTTGTTAGTAGCAGGACGTCCACGACCATCATCATCAGTGTGGAATTCTCCGCGACGAAATTTCTTAGACTAACATTGTGCCATGCATTCATTAACTCTTCCTCGCCTTCACACCTCATTAGTGTTTCGAGCCGTTTGTACTTCGCTGCGACCAAATCGAATTCGTAAGGGCAAACTTGTCAAAACTGCTGTTTTGATGTCCAATATTCTAGCTTGTAAAACTTGTCAAGAATGGATTTTCAGTCATAACTCAACCATACAGGGCAGAAGTGTGTACGGTTTGCATTGTATAGTACGACATTAGAAGTGAAAAAGTATCGCTAAAACATCTGCATGGAAGCTAAAATTACAAATGCAGCATTAATTCCCGAATAATCTGATTAAAATGCAGAGAGCATCCATTTCATACGGTGTACTGTAGTATGTCGGAGATTCGAAACTATCAAAGAGATTCTCAGCGGTTTTGAAAATACAGACTGCTCACTGGAAGTCGTATAGTCGTGCAAACGCAATCGTTTGTTCGATCCCACGCCTCGTGCTATTAAGTCTTTCTTCCTGCCGAGACCAGAGAATTTGTACCAAGGCTGGGAGGAGAGAAAACACTCGATGCATCAGGAGGCTTCCGCAGATCATTGTAAAGGCCAATTATGCATTCAATCAAACTGTGGCGATGCTTGATGATGTCGAGTGCATGGTGCTTACCTCTGGGATTAATCAACGCTGAAAGCCTTGTCCTTTATCCTTTCTACCCTTTTTCTGTCCTCAATTCACCCTTCTGTCAGGCAACACCAAAGAGCGGAACGGAATGAGAAACTTTTCATTTCTTGCCGGTCTATCCTTTTTTTTTATTCTCTTCGTTTATAGTCTGTATGAAAACCGCTCGTTGATCGTGACAGTTTCTTGGGAACTGCCACGACCGACTTTCTATTAACCTCGGCATTGATCAAGTGATTTTCTTCGTATTTTTGTTGAGCAAACGCGAGGTGTTACTAACAAAGAATAGTAACACCTCGCGTTTGCTCAACAAAAATACGAAGTTTCTTGGGAGTTCTTGGGTTTTTTTTGTTACCAAGGGTTTTCGTTGCTGTCATCCCCGTTCGTCTTTAGTTCATCCGTCGTATTGATCGTCGTTTTCGCTCCCGTCGCAGGACATGCATACTAAATTAGCGCTTTGTTAGACGTCGACGCTGACAACAGACAATGGATTACCTTTGTTGGAAAGCGAGTAAAGTCGACCATAGCAATCAGCGGGCGTTCGAATTACCGCAGTTTGATTGAAAAGGAAGTGTCATAGTAGTGATGTTTTTCTTCGAAACAGTAACAGTTCAATTTCGACTAATTGAACTAAAAGGTTCTACAGGCATTATTATACGTTAACTATTTAGGATATAAGGAGCTATGTGCATCTGCATTTTCATAATTGGCATTGTAGACGTGGCATTACAAGCCTCCTCTTTTTCATAGTTCCCTAACCACTTCTCCAAAAGTAAACACTGGGAGTGTAGACGATTTACTCCGGAGATCTTTATGGATTGTATAGATTGAGTCGGCGCTGTCTTTTTCTGTTTAAGTTATTATTCGGTTGCTGTATCGCTTTCTTCTATTCGTTCCAGTTAATCAGCTCGGCTCCCGCATAAGTGTATTATTTTTTTGCAAATTGCTTTGTCGTTTGAAAACTCATGCGCATTTCGTTCACAACAAATCAATGCAGCTGTTGTTGAGAGCTTTCAGTTCTTCCTGGAGGAATTTTTTACAGTTCAAACGTATATGTCAAAGTGGAAATGTGCTGCTCGAAAAATCTTAATTGCAAAATAATTTGGATTTTCTGGGTGGCCTAAGTGAAACCAGACCAAACGAAACTAAAAAGTGATTGGATTTGTTGAAACCGAATTGGCCGATAATGTGTGTGCAATGCATTTCGATGGCGCCAAATGCGATTATATTCATTTACGGGAAAATTTTACCGTCTCAGGTTTCTGTTTTGTCTTGTCTAACGTCCGAAAGTGCCATAGTCATATGAGGTAGTTACAAAATTTGTTGTCCTTCTCCTTAGAATGTTTTGTCATGCTGGTGATCCTGCACGAGGTTATCGAAAGCACTTATTGTGACAACTAGGGTTTTGGATTTCTGTTCCTCAGAGCCGCAGTAGTTTAATCAGATCTCAACAACAGTTATTCTTTGCGATGTGTGTCTTTGTAGTCGAATCGAGTGAAGTGGAACAAAGAATGAATCACACGTCAAGGGCAATAACTGCTGTGGAAATCCGATTAGAATCGTTGCGCTTCTGAAGAGGACAGAGATGAGGATACCGAAACAATTACTACAGTATTTGCAAAACTTCGGCCCGCAGGTGTCGGTGTGTGGTGTCGGTGGCGAACAAATGCGCTATTGTCTTTTACTGGGAGAACTAGCTGAGAAACAGGCGAAACGAAAGAACTGCATGGTGTGGTGATGAGCGCGTTACTCCCCGTAAAGGACAATAGCGCGTTCGCTCCTTACCGCAGACACCTGCGGTCCGGAGTTTTGCAAATATCTCAACGTTATTGTGAGTGTTTCACAAATATTACTCTGCCGTGAAAACTAGCAAAAAGCAGTAAATAAAAGTCAACATTGTGAAATAACCACAGTAGTTTTTTCTTCTAAAGAACGACCTCGTATAGGCTAATATAAAGGCATAACACTTAGTTCTGTCATGTCATTGACTTTTGCTAGTTTAATTGCTAATTTATTTCAAAGTGTTCCAGTCCTACTTACATGCGTACACTCATCAAATGCCCGAAGCAATTCGGCGACACGTTGATGAGGTGACGAATTGCGAAGATATCGCAATGAATTTTCTCGTCGCTCATATCACACGAGAAGCTCCGATCAAAACTACGAGCAAATGGACGCTGAAGTATAGTTTTTGGTTTTTTAAGCTCTACGGAATTTATAAGTGAGGTCTCCTTACGTTCAATTTAAAGGGATCCTACTGCGGGCAGACGTCCGGGTTTTTTATAATTGCCCCGGATATTTTTTCGTTTTGGAGACATTTAGTTCTGTCACAATCCTCCCTTCTTTGCCCTTCTTAAACACTAAAATGTCAAGTGCGGTACGATCTCTGTACTCGAAGTCATGCCTTGTTTATTAAAACTTTCCTATGAACATTTAATTCGGCGTCAATACAACACTTAAATTTGCGCAGGTGTCCGACGTGCTCGGAGATGCTTTCGCAGGATGAGTCTCATTTCACTGAACGACACGACTGCATTCGATTCTTCACGAAGGTTTATGGATACAATCCATTGAAGTACGTCAACGTAGTCTTCATTAAGCATTAAAATATTCATCCAAAGGATTCGAAGTCGTTCTGTATTTCTTCTGTCTACTGCATGAAAAATTTCTGGGGAGATCCACAATGTATTTTTGTTGTACGCAGCGAAATTTGGTTACAGTTCTACATCAGTGGTTTATACCTGATTAAATTTGATACAGTGAAATAGTTTTGCGTTGCAGTAATTATTTAGTGCCCATTAGCCTCTAGTTACTAGACGCAGAAGTGTCAGAGTCAATATCCTACCATATCGCTTAGTTTTCGGCACTTACCATATGGCGCGTGTAGCGCAGTGGTCCTAAGCGCCTTGCAGTACACATAAGATCGATCCTGGCGCCCCAGACTCACCAAGTCTTCCGTCTCTCGGGGTCGACAAACTGTTAACAGACTTCTTGGGAGGATAGAAGCACTGACTTGATGCATTACCAGGCCACCGCCAGTCGTAAAGGTCAGGATATATTCAGTAAACTTCAACGATGCTCACTGAAGTCGAGTTCATGGTGCATACCTCAGGGACTGATCAACGCTAAGAGCTTTATCTTTATTTATTATTTATTTGTGAAATATAACGCAGTGACAGTAGCATTCTTCGATGTCGCGACGAGCTACTCATCTGTGTATACTTGTAGCACGATGCTTCGTAGTGTGCTTACGCGCAAAGTCATTATTCCATTCTATTCCATTCCATTATTCCAGTCATTCATTCAAAGTCAAAGTCATTATATTCCGATCTCGCGCCCTGGGATAATAAAGACTCCCATATCTACGGACTATGCAGATTCGTGCGTGACTAGTCTGGGATGTAAGAACGCTGACTTGATGCATGTGTAGACTCGCTGAACTCATTGTATGGGCGAAATATGCCTTCATTCATCTTTATGCTAGTTGACGAAGTCGAATGCATGCCGTATCGCTATGGGATTGATCAACACCAAACACTTTGTGCTTTATCTTCTATCACAGTTAATCGTTGAGTGGTTTTAACGAGCACCACTAACGTTTCCATTCCTCGTGTTGCGCCCCAGAACTATTTAGTAGGTTCCGCTTACTGGTGTATTCAAACAGCATCGCACTTTTTGTATGAGCGACGCCATTTTTATTGGTTTTGATGGGAGATAGCTTGTCATGCTTTACAAGGTACTCCTGTTCGAAAACAACTACGAAAGCAAACCATCTAGAGCTATCGCAGTTCATTTTTAAACCACTCTTTTTCCTTTTTTTTTTCGGTAACTTCGCCTTGAACACAAGATATGCAGGAGCACTGTTTGCTCAGTGGAAGTCGATCGCAGAAGTTGTTTAACATGGTTTTGGCTGAGTTTTCAGTTTTCTATAGAATTGGTAAGGTCCACCAACTATCGGTGAGGCAGTTTAAATGTTAGGCGCTTTTTGAAGAATTTAACGAAGATTTTACGAACTTCATCTTTCTAGTGTTTTTGCCGGTAGCTTTAGATTGTCCTTAATTAATAGGAATAAGATGGATGAGCTTTTTCACTTTGTGCTTTATGTTACTATACATCAAAGAGAGTATGAATAAAAGAAATTTGCCGTTTGTTCTTTCCATTTCGGATTTCCTATTATGAACCATTTTCTATTTCTGTTTTTCTGTTTAAGGTTCTCCCAGTTTCGTGCCGATTCAGTTTTATTCAAGACTCGTCTTCCACCAGACAAACAAAAATGTTTTAGATTTGTATAGTTTTATTAGAAGGGAAATCAGTTGTTTTCTTTTCTTCCTGAATACAAACTGTCCGTTATAATCTTCTTTTTAGAAGTGGCATTGTTGCAAAACTGCTATTACATATTGCACAAGTTGAAGGCCTTTTATATGTTGAATTGGCACGTTAAATGTTAAAAAATATTGATATGAGAATCTTATATTTGGGTTTTTTTGTATTATTCCTTTCTAAGAGTAGTGCCAAGAGTGCATTCGCTTAGCCATTTTCGCAGTGTTTTCTGTTTTTCTAATTGTCCCGCTAGGTTCGGAGTTTTGTCGGCTTGTCTGTTCTCACTTGTACATTCGTCTTCTCAGTTTTTCCTGTATCATACTGTACTTTCTTCATGTTCATTCACTGGGATTCTTTAGGTCTCATTATTGCATCCCTAGTACTAATGTGGCTCTAAAGCGACAATCCTAATTCTCTACGTTATTTGATCGTTTAGTCGTTCATTCTCCACTGCTCAAAAATTCTTGATAAAACGGTTACTTTGTGTTGTGTTCTATTGTCCATTTCATACGTCACTAGAGGGGAAGTCTTTAGGTGAAACCAAAAGCTCTTGTACTAGAAAACAAATAAATTCTGCTACTCAGTTCTACTCTCGCAGCAGCAAGTAGAGACTGCAAACGACGAAATCGATTCTTCCGATTTCGCTTGCAACTGAATGCTGCAGTTTTAATTGAATTGCTGCAGATATGCTGAATAGATTGTAAGGACTTAGAGAGGTAGAGGTTTATTAAGCGTGTCAATAATTCTTTGGGGTTTTAAAATGTTGCATCTCGAAAAAGCTTTAGACATCGGAGGGGTGCCGCAGTAAAAGAGAGAAAATGGAGCGCGGAGGGTTAGCGTGATGCAAAAAGCTGAGACCAGTTATGCAACTTTATCTTTGAATACATCTCTAAACAGCAGAAATGTGAGGTTTCTTGAGCTCATAGTGAAGGCAGGCTGATTTTCGAATTACGGATGATCTTCGCTACCGATTTCTATGAGTTCTTGACCAGCGATAGTTATTATTAGGTAGAATGCTACGCTCTCTTGCACACTCTGGTCGGTTTATATCGTTTTCAAATTTCGTAAATCGTGTACAAAACCGATGAAAACTAGCTAAACTCTGAGTTGATCTGACTGGAACTGGAGCATCTGTGTGCGATAACTAAGCAGGTTCTTCTCCAATGGAGCGCTATGGCTGCCTCAATTATATCCTCCATATAGGATTTTTGCCATATTTTCCTTCTGATAACTTTCTGAGCGCACTGGATGATGTTTACAGTGTCGCTCGGAACAGTTCTTCAGAAAGGATCTCTGGAGGAATTCGTAGACCCCACCGAATGACTCATGTATTTCATGGCATAACAAATTCCTTAGGGATGTTTTTAATACCTGCTTTTGGGTCGTTCTGCACAGCTGCCAATGAAAATGTTGAAAAATGAGCTCAAAAGGCATGTGGCCAGGAGCATTAGAACAGCTGGCTGAGAATTAACACATTCCATTCTCTATATGTCGTCACACGGCCAGTCTATTCGATCATAAATCTCTGGCATGACGTCTTATGTGAGATAGTTGAGACATCAGAATCATTGACGGAGCTATCAAATCGAGCCTGAGGTGCTCGTAATCAATAGCCCCGCCGAGCTCATCAAGGAATTCTTCGCCCATGGGCGGGGCGGCGGCGGATTCTCCCCCTGGTTAGCGTGGCAGTCGTCGTTGAGCCCACTTTCCGTGCACAACCGATGGAAACCTTTCTCATCGAGCTCTTCCTTGGCACAAGTTGTCACTCTTCAGGCGCCAGCGTATTGTAGATGATTGGACAAGCCACAGGTATGTTCCACTGTCACTGCTTTCTACTTTTAGACCATCAGTGTAACTTTCGTATAGCATGAGTAATCAGATATATGAGGATGACTCATCCGCAATTTTTGATTTAACTAATAAATTACTAGACTTTTGTGTTCAGGTGGTTACAGTTCGCGACTACTCGGAATGGATATTTGGCACATTTTGAGCGTCTGCGCTGATCTTTCTCGCTCAATGATATTCGTCCACACTTCTCGTACTCTCGACCTCCACCACGAAGACCCACCTGGCCCACCTTACCACTTGGGCAGCAATTCATTCACGGACGGCGTACGTTGCCTTGTTCGACATTTTGACTGTGTATCAAATGCGACTGCGGCACACGACATCGACTTAGGCGGCGAGCATTATCGCCACCCACGTTTATTATATACGTATGTGCGTATATACAGATACAGCATGCATGCACATATGTGTGTATACATGCCTACACATATACATATATATATATATATATATATATCGGTGTCCATCCCTTGTGATACCGAGGTTAAGAGAAAAACACACTGGCCGTGCCAGCAGTTCATCGTTCGCCGCGGTTGTCACTTTCATGCACCCCATGCTAGGCAGTACGTCGTCCGTCAGTCGTCACACCGTCCAATTAACAGTCATGATTCATTCATGGCGAAATAGGAGCGGACCGTAGCAGGTTGCACCTATGGTTACGTAGTCGTCGTTCTTTCATCGTCGGCGGTGGCGGGCTACAGTGGGAACATCGCTCGTGACTGAAATCCCTCATAAAATGCGCTCGGTTGCGGTAATTGCTGTGACACTGGTACGGTTCGAGTCTGCTAGGACGTAACCAGTTTAAACAGATAGTCTGTCTGTATTCAGGTAAGTGTGTATGAATGAGGCTCGTCGGTTAACCTACTCGTCGTTGTCAACGACTGACTCTACGTCACATCATTCGATTCTGACTGGTCGTCGTGCTCAGCAGGCTGTCACTCATGCTCGTCTTCAAATTCCTCAACTGTATTGATTTCACGCTGTGCTCACATATGTCAGAGCACCAGTGCTCATCGATTCAAAACCACTCATGCGCACACGTTGTGTTGCTGTGCTGTCGTGAAAGCAATAAAGTGCGATGACGCCTACGGAAGGTGCTCGGCTGCAAATTTCCCGACCGCTGACTTAGTACAGGTGGTCGACGGGTAATGTGCAGCTCTAACAGTCCAGTATTCAACAAAGTGTCACCTGTCACCTGTCGTCCCGTTGGTCGTCGAGTGACTCGAGCGGGCACCAGTAAACCTTGCATTTCTCCTCGTGGCATGCACCAGTTGCCCTGTGGGTTCTGCTGGCTCTAGGGATTCGCCTAGCATCATATCTCTCGTGTAGGGTTTTCATGAAGAACTCTGATTATCGATTCTGCGATCTTGTTACTGTGCGTTGGACATGTCGAGGTGGGTTGTCGTTCATACGCATTACATGTCCAGCCCACGTTATCTTCGACAGTTTGTCGTATAATACTTGTATAAGACGAGAGAGATTATGCTGAAGTAAATAGGCGAAGTGTGACGACTCTCAGATGTTGCCTGAATGGTGTAATTGCTGAACAAACAAATTCGGGGCCACTGTGGCCCCTTCTAGCACCGTCGCTGGCTGGAAGAGGTCGCAGTGGAGATGTACACTACACTTCAGTGATCATAGCGTTAGTTGTGCCGTCTACGTGAGGTCATCAGTGTGGAAAGTCGTTAAAAAGGTACGATATAATCATTTCTGGAATCCAATTTCCGTGAAGTTTTAGATGAACACGACACCAAATGTCATTCTGCAAACTCACTGCATTCGTAATTGTGACTCGTTAACTAAATCTAGGAATCATAAAAACATAAAATTCTTACGAAAAAAAAACGCTGTACTACATTCGCGAAGTCCAGTAACCCGTGTTTAGGAGCTTCAATAAACTCATGTTGTCTTCGTCAGGGAATGTACAATTTCTTCAGTTATCTACTAACTATACTAACTATCTACTAACTACTACTACACAGGGGCGTGTGTGGTGCAGTGGTCGGAGGCGCCCTACATCGCACACGTGGAATCGATCCTCGCGCTCATGGCCCACCAAGCCTTCCATCCCTCCGGGGTAGGCAAATTGATAGCAGAGTTGTCTGGTAGGATAGCAGCACTGGGTCGATATATCGGTAGGCCACCATGAGTCATTGTAAAGACAAGATATGCATTCAGTCACCTCTAACGATACTTAATGAAGTCGAATGCATGGCGCATCCATCAGGCATTGATCAACACGAAGAGCTTTATTCTTTTATCCTTTATTTACTACAAAGTACTTTATAAACAGCCAAGTAGGTAGTATGCCTGGAAATACGTCTAGAATGTTTACAACAAGCAAAAATTTCGTTTTTAAGCAACTGGCAAGGACAAAATTTTAGTCTTGGGCGTCTGTTGAGAAATTATTAGGTGAAAGGTACAAATAATGCAAGCTTTTCTAGGACACTTACAGAATCTATCCTAAACTATGTTTTCTAAAGCCGAAGCATCCGAACGAGATCTGTTGTTAGCACGCGTGATGGAGAGAAAAGCTGGTCTTTTCGGAATACCTCAGTGATTTCGCTGATTGTGTTATCAGTTCCCAAGCCTAAAAATCAGTTTTCGAAGGTGTCGGTCGATTGCCAGAAAGTGAAAATTGTTGATTTGTTCCATACTTGGGTAGAGGGGATTTCTTTTCCTATAATGAAGTTCTGGCGTTGTACGAAATGCACTCAAGTTTTGCTGGTACATCTTGTAATAGTTCCCAGGATCGACTTTCTATTAACCTCGGCATTGGAATATGAATGTGTCGTTTCCTTGTTCAGCAATCGCGAGGTTTTTACAGCATACATTTACTTCCATAGAAAAACAATACAATACAACGCTAGCTGACGTTTCGGCAGTATCGCCTTCTTCAGAGCCGCTTTTTCGTGACTTCCAATGTGGAAGTTTAGAACAGCTCACGAAAAAGGTGGTCAAGGTGGTCAACCACATGCGACTATATTCAGCTGTCCTAAACTTCCTCATTGGAAGTCACGAAAAAGCGGCTCTGAATAATGCGATACTGCCGAAACGTCAGCTAGTGTTGTATTGTATTGTGTTTTTCTATGGAAGTAAATGTATGCTGTTTAAAAAACTC